TTTTTTTTTTTTTTTTTTTTTTGTTGAGACAGGGTCTCCATGTAGCCCCATCTGGCCTGGAACTCCCTATGTAGACCAGGCTGGCCTTGACCAGACAGAGATCCACCAGCTTCTTCCTCCTGAGTGCTGGGATTAAAGGCCTGGAACACCACACCCAGCTACTTTCCTGGATTTTTTTCTTTTCGTTTTTTTTTTTTTTTTTCCTGGATTTATTTTTATGTGTATGAGTGTTTTGCCTGCATGTAGGTGCATCTGTGTCATACAATGCCCATGGAGAACAGAGGAGGGAGAGCAGAGGAGGGAGAGCAGAGGAGGGTGCTGGATCCCCTGGAACTGGAATTATGGAGGGTTGTTAGTCAACATAGTGGTAGCTGGGAACCTGGGTCCTCTGCCAGAATAGTCAGTACTCTTAACTGCTGAGCCATCTTTCTAGTCACCCCTCCTTTACTTTCAACCTTAAATACCAGCTTATGCTCAAGAAGACTAAAGGCAATCCTGCCATATTAATGCCAAAGGTCTTGGAGTGTAGAGGTACAGGAGGTTCAAGGAGACACCACACAACTCTTGGGCAAAGGAATGTGAACTCAAGATTCCTACATAGGATCCTGCATCTCAGTCCCTAAGTTTTAGTACCTTAGTATATTCTTTTTTTGGCAAGTTAAAGAAACAAATCTAATTTCTCACATTCAAACTACAGGCACCTGAGATTATTTTGAAGGCTAGCTTCCTACAACTTTGCTGTGGGGGAAGATTCTCTTTTTATCAGTTCCAGAAAAAGACTTTTAAAAGTTATATGGGAGGGGGCTGGAGAGATGGCCCAGCAGTTTATAGAGTGCTATTCTTGCAGGGGACCAGAGTCTGGTTCCGCCAGGCCCGCCTCATTTGCCCAACTCCAGCTTCCAGGGGATCAGGTACCTCTGATTTCCACCGGCATCTACACATACCCAGTCACACAAGCATAATTTTAAAAAAATTTCTAAATGGGCAAAGGGCTGGGAGTGTAACTCAGTGTTAAAGCCCTTACCTAGCATGTATGAGACCCTGGGGTCAATTCCCAGTACCATGAAACAACACCCAGGAAATGGTAAAGTTAAAATTTTAAGATGCTTTTTTTCTCCTGACAGATTCCCTCACGTACATGCCCCAGCCTCTGCAGGGGAAAATTGCACCTCTGTCTAGTCTCTCTACAAGGTAAACTATTTCTTAGTGGACTGCCCGCCCAGCCACAGGTCGGTCTGTAGAGGTGAAAAATGGAAACCACAGGCGACTGGCTCGGCTTTGGCTCCATGACCTGGGCCAGAAGGGAAAGACCAAGTGGTTTCAGGCGTGCCAGGAGGCTGGACTCTGAAGCGACCCTGAGTGCCGAGTGCCCGGTGTTGTACGGCGTCAAGCTCGCTAGAGAAACCCGCGGTTACAAAGAGGCCCACTTGTTGGGCTCCAGCCATCGCCACCCAACACGGACAGACAAAATGGCTTCCCGGCTTGGGCCCAAGTTTTGTATGGTTACGGTTTTCTCGCTGCAACTGAACTACAACTCCCAGAATGCTTTGCCCGGAAGGCGGGATTCTGAGCTATTCTCGCGAGCGCCGGTGGTGTCCTAGACACCTCCCCCCGTGCCCCTCCCCCATGAGCGCAAGGTTTCCAACAGACGTTAAAGATTCGTCCGCGGCTCCGCCTTCCCCACACTGCCCGGCCGGACTCAAGGTTTAGCTGCAATGCCGTGGAACCTCCCTTAAGGATCAAAGTCCCCACCCTCCTACTTCCCGGTATAGCTTCAACGCCTGCGCAGTCGAAGAACACACTACGGCTCCCAGCAGGCTCTGCGGAGCGCGTGATTACGTGCTGACGCACTTAGTCGTGCTGACGTGCAGCGCGGCCCAGGCGGGTTGCGAGTGGCGCAGTCAGAACCCGTTGCGGCCCCGAGGAAGCGGGGAGGCGTCGGCTGAGGCGGGCGGACCAGCGAGGCGGTGGCTTTAGACCCTGAGGGACTCGAGAACTCAAGCAGCGGCTGCAGCAGGACCTCTTTTCCGAGGCGGCGGCGGCGGTGGCGACGGCGGCGGGTAAGAGCGAGCGAGCGAGCGAGCGGGTGGGGGAGGGGAGGGGCCCCGGCCGGAGGCCAAAGCGCGCGGAGAACGGACCAGGCTGACACGCGCACGCGCGCACGGCTTCTGAGTTTGCGCGTAAGCCCGCGT